GTAAGTTATAAAAGCTAGTACTTTATATAATTTGACATCCAATAGTGAAAATTATGAATCCAAAGAATGCACTCTTGAAAATTATCCATTAACTAGGGGAATCAGATTTGATATTTCTCGCATGTATTTGATAATCATTGATGTAAGAAAAATGGGGTAACTTGTTTAAGTGAATTTTAAGTACTAACATGCATCAAAATGCAGGATTTTGGGTGCCGGACCCCCCTTACTTGGCTTCGATTATTTTCAGGATTTTTAGGAAAGGGACACTTTCATCTCTGGTTAGTTTATTATATGGATTTAGGACTAAATTAAATCTCCTACATTGACTGAACTTTTTAAGATATTATAACCAAATATTTTGTTAACAACAATGGTATGCAACTGATGACTCAGCTCATTCTAATCATTATATGGATCTATCATTTAAGAATATTTCTTCATGTAAAATTAGTTCACTAATTCATAAATAAGTATTCAGTTTTGATTTTTTTTACAAATTAAAAAGTGCATTATAGTTTTGATAAAACAACCAACTTTATTCATTGTGATTGCAATGCAAATTCATAAGGTTCAGTCTTATATGAAAATAAAATTAATGAAAAAAGATGTCACTTGTTTTTTAATGTTCAGTTTACATTAATAAGTATTTCAGTGAAAATTCTGTATAAAAAAGCTGTAAATTGCTGCAGCACATCATGGTAAACAGAACAGACATTTTTATTAACGCATAAAATATTTTAAGATGTTAACATTCCTATTTTTGTACGATTTATTCAGCAATAGTTTGAATAATTTGTACTCTGTGACTTATGGACTTGTTTTAGTGGACATTAGAGTAAAATCACAGAACTCTTCATGCACCTTTTGGTTGATTCTTTAACTTGTAAGGAAAAATTGTAGTATTTGTTACAACCAACTGACTTTTCTGTCATTGTGATACAGGTAAAATTTACAAAGAAAAGGTGTCACTTATTTTCCCAGGTGTAATTTATGTGAATAGTATTTCAGTGATTATTTGTTTTCCTCCCATTATAATCATAGACTTTTTTGTTTGTCTGTTACAGGATTTTCTTTTTGTAAATTGCAGTTAACCTTTATAATAAAATATAAAGTCACTAACTATTCTTTGTTTTCTTATAATTAAACACACAAAAATTTAGTTTATGGTTATACTAGTTAATTAACTCAGTTGAACTGATTCTTCTAGAGCTTCAAGCAGGGAAGGACGTACAGTTTCTTGTTGGTTTAACAAACAAAGGAAGCAAAGATTTCTTCTTGGAAACTATGGATGCATCATTCCGTTATCCAATGGACTTTAGTTTCTACATTCAAAATGTGAGTAGAACCTTATCCAGGAATCCACAGATGTCATGTGAGAAGACTAACAATGTAGAAAGTAAGAAATGACACAGAAAATATTTATAATCATTATGATATAAAATGATCACTTTTCTATACAGTGCACCTAGTTTTATCTGTGTGCATACAAATAGAATGCCCTAAATTTTAGTTGCTCATCCAATACGAATATTACAAATCCATGTTTTTTTTATTAAGTCTTTGCTAAGGAATGTTTTTCTCATGTCTTTTTTTTTGTATGTTGCCTATCCAACATGCAAAGTAATTTTCATTTTGAGATCAAAAATACTTTTATGCATCAGAAACTTTTCAAATTTCACATGTGAAATCTTTATAATGTCCAGATTGTTATCAAATGATTCTTAATAAAAAAAAACTATATTTCAGCTGTTATTTTCACTAGCGAATCTCTGTACAGGTTTGGTAGATTTGACTGATCTTGTAATCACCATAAAAAAATTAGGAAATAAATATGAATTATGCCTCTTTCATTCTAGAATGAACACAGATTATAACACAAAAACATAAATGTTTAGATTAAATACCTTAAATTTTGTAACATTACACATTTATATATATTTATTTTTATTATACTGACCTTTTAGCTGTGCCTGGCTAACAATATAGAAGTTACAACGATGCGACACGTGCTGTCATGTTACCGTATCCAATAATATAAAACTGACCTTTAGTCTTTACAAAGTGACCAGTCTCATTTCAATTATTATGCATTATAAATGTATGTACATTATTACTATTTACAAATAAGTTCTTAAAACATAGAACAGAAAATAAAGAAGTAAAGTAAACAATTATCTCTTCTAGTTACGACCTTTATACTTGGTTGCTGAGCCTTTTAAAATTTCACACGTGGAGGATATGAAACAAAATCATTTTTTGTAGGTTTTATATATATACAGTTGAATAACCAAAAAATCGTAAATTACTATCAATACCATAGAATTCCACTATAATTTATCAAGCCTAGTAACTAAGCTGCATTTCATTCTAAAAAAATATGAAATTTTGATCAGACTAAAGACACAACCTACGTCCTTGAAATCTTGGTACAAATGAATGAGATGGCTTCTTAACACTTTAAGATGGCTGAGAAAGCCACTAGGGAGACATTCTAAGCTTTCAATCAGTTATTCGTGTCATATATTGAAGTAAGTGTATATATATATAAGGGACCATTTCCAAAAATGGAAAGAGGTGAGCGGGGCCACTGTGTTTGATTCAGTACATGAGTGATATCTCAGGAAATAGAAAAGATGTGAGGTTCTTATTTTATATTGGTAATTTGAGTTGCTAATTCGTATGAGACTATAGACTTAGTATTTTGACATCTAATTTGAACCAGTGCTGAATTCAGTATACCACATGACACACAGAAATTGGTGTTTAACTGTGTTTTTTAATATTTACTTTTAAATTAAGAAACTAAATGTATAATACTAAAATCTGAATTATAATCTAGAGTTCGATACCAAACTTATTGACATAAATTCATGAAATGGGAGTCAATAAACATGATGACATGACCTTTGACCCATGACCTGTTTGGAAAGGGTTAAAGGGTATAGACTTTTTCATTCAGTTATTAGTTTTATTTGATTATAATGCTGTTAGCAGCCCACTAGTGTAGGAATAATGGAGAATGAAAATGTTAGTTAAAGTACTGTTGAAAATGTTTATTATCTCTGTTGACTGACTTTAAAACTCTCATTAAGAAGTAGGTGGAAGTTAAAAGAATAATTCTTAGTTATCTTCAGTAAGAGAGAAATATGACATACTCAGCCAGCATGACAAGTCAAGCATTGGTGACTACCCAAAGGGAGAATATGTCTTGATAACTTGTTACCTGAATTATGTTGCAGTTAGTAACAGATTAAAATAAAATATAAGAATATTAATTCATTTTCAAATCACAGAAGGCAAATTTTCCAAAAATTGATATTTAATGTTTACAGCATGTTCAAGATATCCTACTACAGATCCCAATAATTGAAGAAAAAGAAAATAATTTCTCCCTTATATGTATAGCATGAAGCAAGTTTTTCTAAGTTTCTCTTTTTTACAGTTCACTACTATTGCTTACAATCGAGTAGTAAAGCCAAAACAGCAGGCCACTTTGTATTACCAGTTCTTCGTGAGTGAATCTTTTGCTGCAAGATCTTTCGGGCTGACTGTGAACCTTCTCTATAGAGATGCTGTAAGTTTTGTAAAATTAACTGTTTCTAAGTAGTTTGTTTAATGGTAGATCTGGATAAACTAGACAACACAAATTCTAAAAGTTGTTAGCACCAGTTGTTGCAATAAAGCAAGATTGATGATGGCTCATAGCTCTTGTTGGAGGATTTATTAATACCTATTTTAAACATATACAGTTGAAAAAATGGCTTTGATTTGCAGGAATTATCATAATTTTTCTTCTTTCTCAGCTAATGCCATGGGCGTCTGCAGAAATTTTTCTGGGGGGGGGGGGGGGCCCATAGCTAATGTTACATTTTTTGTATGAGGTTCATAGTCTAGAAATGTTAATGACATATAATGCTGAATTTGGTCTAGCTTAGTAAATTTCAGATAGTAGTAAATAAATTCTTAAATGTGAAAAGTGTTTAATGTAAAACTTGGTTCCAAGAAGTTACCAGGGTAATTGTGTTAGTAAGCTATAAATCTGAATAGCCAAGTTGACTACTGCTGATGGTCTAGGTGTGGGCTGAGAACTACATTTAATTTTCAATCTCTTATAAAGTTACTTTCAGTATGGTTTCTTCTCGTGTGTAAAAGAAATGTGTGTTTTATTTGCTAATGCTATAGATACTATTGAACAGTCAAAATCAGTAACAGTTAAGTTGCTGCATTTGTAGCCATTTTAGCTACTGACCTTAAACCTGCTCATTAAAGCATTGTTAAAAAGGTTCTAAAATTGGTTTAAACGTTAATAACTAGGGGTGTGCAAACCTTGATGCTTGTTTTATTCTAGCAAAGTCCAAGCTTTTAAAACAAAAATCAACCTTGAGCCTTCATTGGGCCACAGTTGGGAAAAATAGTTAAAATTATTAAAATTCTAAGTAATGATAATAATACTATAAATACTAAATAAATATTCATTGTTTTGAGTACACATTTTTTGCAATCAAATTCCAGCAGAGTAAACTAAGACTCATCTCAAACTCATGATTTGGTGTGGTTGCATAACCTTGTTAAAACTATTTTGATTTAGTGCATTTTCTTCATCTTCTATTCTACATAAAGATTAGGAGTTGAGTTCTTTAAAATGTTGCTTTATCTTTTTTATGTTTATTTTAACATCTTTTAGTCATTCTTCAATAAAAATTGTCAGCAGTAGCTGTTAATCTTTTTGAGTTGTGAAAGGCATAAATCTGTTTTTGGTTGTTACTCACTTGTTTTTTAGTGTTTAGATAACGAGTATTTGGTACTGTAGTGTGTAGATCAGATATAATTAGTTGTGGTTTTCAATGTGGCACAATAAAATAAAGTTTAGTTTTAATGATAATTTGAAGAAGTGTGAAGAGATTTCAAAACTTTTATAGTTCTGTATGTAACTTATATGACTGGTTCTGCTTGTGCCAACTGATTTATTGTTGAAAATAAAACAGTAAATGTTAAATCAGTGTAATAAATGGACACCTTTGAGTTTAATATGTAACTCTTATATTGCCCAGATGATTTTATAGACTTAAAATGTTAAAACACCTTTGAAGATACTGAGAGTAACATACTTTTTCCATATTTTTTCAGGATGGAATACAGTATTTAAATTCTGTTTTTAATGAGACTATAAATGTTGTTGAAATAGATGAAGGCTTGGATGGTGAAACGTGAGTAAATTTATTGTAATAATGTTTAGACTTTGTATTTGTATGTTGAAGACTGTGGAAAAGGGTGTCGTGTAATATAATGTTTGAGTTGATGAGTTTGTAATTTTATTAGAGAAAATGAGAAAAAATATCCACAGTAATGATTAAAAGTTCTTTGGTTTGTTAACAGCCACATACATATTAAGTTTGTAATGCATATAACACATTTGTATAAAAAATTAATAACTACCTCAAAAAAACTTGTGTATTTGTTATTAACTACCATTTTTTGAGATAAATAACAAACACACAGTTTCTTGTTTTATGTTTTCAAATAGTGTATATTAAGTAGTTTTCTGGTCAGTACAGAACTAATCTTTGTCTTATTATGGGTAGGTTCTTCTTGTATGTGTTTCTGGCTGCCTGTGGAGTTCTGTTATTGGTTGGTGCCCAACAGCTTCTTGTAAACATGGGAGTAAGTTTTACTTTTTCCCGTTCAAGTGTTGATCAAGAAATTATATATATACTTTAAAAATAACATATCTTGTTATTTTAAGTTATAAGTGAGGAATGTAAATTATGTAGATTTGTATGAGCTACAAACTAAATTTAATGGTAAATTATACTGTAGTATTTTCTGTAGAAACCATAGAAGTTGAAAGCTCATTTTCTTGAGCAGTCTGTTCCATTTAAAACTGGAACTAATGTGTGTGTATTGGTAGAAAATGTAAACAGACTCTTCAGTTCACTTTACTTTCATAAGTCAGAGAAGATTTAAGGTAGCGTATACCCTTTAAATGTCAAAAAATATCACAATTTATTTTCTGGGTTTTCCTTAGTTCACATTAATTCTTCACATTCCATCAAAGTCTGGACCCATTTTTCAGGAGAATTCAGTCGTGTTTGTAAAAGTTATCAGGAACATAAGACATTTCTTTTGTATTTCTTTATTTTTATAACATGCGAATTAGCCACAGTGGTAATGTTACATAACATGTGACAGAATATGTCTGTATCTTATTTTAATATGTTTTTGTACAAAAAGAATAGTATGAAGATTTGTTTTTCTGATAAAAAGGCCAAAACCTAGATATCACTATGTAAAGGGTATATGCTACCTTAACTTCAAATTAACCAATGAGTAGATTGATACTTACAATGCCTGTAACAACAGTACTTTTGTGTTGTTATTTGTTCTTTCCAATAGCACTAAAAAAAACAACCAAATAACAGAAATTAGATTTTCCATGTGATTCGTTGTCTAACCCCAGTATAAACCCAAGCCAGCAGAAAGGTTAGGTTACTCCCCAGTATAAAAAATAATAATAAAATAAATTCTCAAGGCTACTTCTCAGAAATGAAACTCGCATAGTGTAAATGATGAATTAACACTGGTTATAGAAAAGCAGCAGTCTGTTTTAATAGACAAAGAATTAGTGTAACTGTTAGTTATTGGTGTTTAGACACTAGTAGCTACTTAAATCTTATAAACATCAGTAATAATCTATTTTTCATTGTACATCATTGTAACTTTTGTCAAAAAAAAGTTATCTTGTATTTTACAATATTATAACTAATGTCATGTTTTAAATATAGGCTGCCAGTAATGAGATATAGGAAATTTATTAAAGTATTTTAAACCATTGAACTTGTGTGTGGTCATTGGCCAACCCTGTCACTATTGGATATCAGTATAGACACCTGCTTTAGCTTGCAGTGTTCAATCATAAATGTTTCATAAAAATATCTCATTTTAAACTTGTGGAAGAACAGTGAAGGAAACACTGAATGTTTTTTGTATTGCCTGTACTTTTTATATGTTATATTTAAAGCATTATGATATCAACTGTGCAATAACTAAGCTGTTGGAGCATGATTTGTTGAAAGGTCATATTACAGTACAATTGATAATCATTTAACTTGTCATCATTTATTATCTCAATACTACTGATATAAATAGTATTTGTACTATTAAAGGTTTTGAATGTTATAGCCCAGCTGGCCTGGAGAGTCCTGGTTTTGAGCGAAATGTCATGTTAGCAGCAATATACAACAAATATTATAATGCATTCTTTTGACTGGTAGCTCATACTGAGTCATTAAAGAATGACATGGTTTAAATTATTATTAAACTTATTGTGATGAACTATCACACATATTACCTATTAATTAAATTGTTTTTAGTACTGCTAGAGAACTAATGTTTCTCTTTTGTTTAATTAATATGTTGTATAAGCCTTACTCTTTACCTTTAGAAGAAGAAATCTTCGGCCAAACCAAAAGTTGAGATGGGAACCCAGAATGTCAATGATGTTGATTATGACTGGCTACCCAAAGAAACACTCAATGAACTCAGTAAGTAGTTTGATTTTGGTATAATTGAAATCAAGTTTTGTTGTAATGGAAAAAGCAGACATGACAAAGTCCTGAAATATTGCATGGATTTCTAGAATAACAAATGTTTGAACAGTTATGTCAGCAAAATAAGATTCTATAAAATTAAATTACTATACATAAAAAATAAATAGAGAAGTTGTGCATAACCTAAGAGCTTAAAACTGAAAATTAGCTATAAATCTTTTTTTATGTGGAATAGAAACTGTTCACCAACTTTGAAAAATATACAGTATTTTTAAGCGTGTAAAAATTAACTGCAGCTTGTCTCATATAATCTCCATATCTCAAGGAACTGTATTCAGCAGTCTTCCTGTACTGTTTCAGTGCATATCTATCTGGTATGTGGACTGTCAATTTAATGTCATAAACAATGTATATTAATTAATTAATTATAGACTTTTTTTGACATAATAGGTTGTACTGTTATTGAATTTTCTGTAGACAGCATTTGATTTTGTGTCCTGAACTTTTTATCATAAGGACAAAAATACTATGTACCTTTAACTTCCAGCAGATCCAATGTGCAGAAAATTCAACTCTCCAGGCACATGCAAAACAAGTAGGTTACTAGTTATCTTTTTCTTATTCTTAACATTTCTGAGCAATTACAATCATGAATTTTGTACACATTGGATCTGATGGAGGTTAAAGGTACATACTATTTTTTCAGGATACAAAACCAGTTATCCTTTTTTTTATTCTTAATATTTCTGAGCAATTACAATCACCCACGAGTCTTCTTGGTACTAATCTATTATCACTGAGATTTGGTTTTAGCCTTAAATGAATGGGAAATAAAACATAACTTGACTTGACTTAATCCTGTAGACTCCCAGTGGAGCATAGGGCCGCAACAACACCTCGCCAACGGACTCTGTTCTGGGCTGCTCTCCTCAGCTGGGTCCACGCCATTCCGGCAGCCTTCTCTTCACTCCTGACCGATCTCCTCCACATCTGTTTTGGCCTCCCAGCTTTTCTTTTCCCTTGTGGGTTCCAGTCCAAGGCCTGCTTTGTAACGTTGTCAACTGGTTTTTGCAGTGTGTGTCCGATCCAGCCCCATTTTCTTTTCCCGATGTCTTGGCTGACTGGGTTCTGGTTTGTCCTTTTCCATAGCTCTGTGTTTGAGATCTTCTCTGGCCACCTGATGTTTAGGATGTGTCGCAGGCACTTGTTGGTGATGGTGTTCGTAACTCGCCATGTCTCAGACCCATACAGGAGGGCTGCTTTTACATTTGTGTTGAAGATGCGGATCTTGCTGCACAGGGATAAGGCTTTGGAGTTCCAGATGAGTCGCAGGGTGTTGAACACGAGCCTTGCTTTGTTGATCCGGCTCCTAACGTCTTCGTCTGCGCCGCCGTCTCTGTTTACTATGCTTCCAAGGTAAACGAAGTGCTCTGTTTCCTTGATGTCTTTTCCCTGCAGCTGCAGTGGGCGCTCTTGTTTGTTGTTCAGCCGCATCACCTCCGTCTTTCTGGTGTTGATCTTCAGGTCGGTCTTTCCTGCCTCCTCAGTGAGCCGGGTGAGCTTGGACTGTGCATGCTGTTGCTTGAGATAAAACATAAACTTGACCTGAATTTGCATGCATAACGTATCAATAAGTCTATGAATGTCATTGCTTACTTAGAAATTGTGACACATTAAGTTTTTGAATGATTGGGTTATTAATTCCATATCAAATAGTATGGGAAGCTTATTGAGCAGTAATTGGTATTTAATTAACTTAAATATAAGATGTATTAAAAGTTTAAATGACACAGCTTAACTTTTACTAGTTTTTCACTGTGAAACTAGCTGCATACTTGGACATATACCTATCTAATAGGAAAATTTATATAAATAATTATTTTTTCTATTAATAAAGTATTTTATATGTAATAACAAGGAAATGTTATATCAATTCTGCATGAAAAGCAGCCTCTGTAAAATTAAAATTTATATGTGTTTGTAATCATCAGTAGTATGAAAAGACAAATGTATTATAGTATCACAAAATTTGGCATTAAGTATGAAACATCAGTGAGCCATTTAGAATGTGGAAACAGTTTTAGTAATAACTTATTAATACTTTCAGATAAGTCTCCTAGAAGATCTCCCAGACAGTCTCCAAGACAAAGACGAGTCAAGAGAGGAACAGGGTCAGGAGATGAGTAACAATAACTTCTGACTTACACAAATACTGCTGTTGCTGTGAGTGTGAAGTGGCTTGGATTACGTTATGCTTTAAACATGCTAACTCAGAAGTTCAGATCTTGATTATCATGAGATAGTACTGGTAAAAATGCTAAGTCTGTAAAGATAAGTGAAGATTTTTCCTAATCTTATTAGACAGCTTCAAGTAGAATATTTCTAATGCTTTATCTGTAGCATGGATAGTTTACATAAAATAATTGTTATTAGTAAAAATATTGTTAGTTAACTGTACAGTTTGTCAAGAATACATTGTGTGTTTCACTTCAACAAAATTTGTCTGTGAGGAACAAGAAATGCCCCATGTTATTATTATTCGCTTTGAGAAATTTGTGAATTATGTAAAGCTATTTCATAATCCTAGCCATACTGAAGAGCAAGAGTTTTGATAATAAAAGGAAATAAAGATGTGTTTGTGTGTATGTTGAATTTTTTCTTCTTCCTACATGAAGATCCAGCAATGGATTTTTATATTTTAGTTTAAAAAAATGAAAATTTACCAAACAAAGTTTCTTTTGTGCACCAAATTTATAATATTTTTCTTAAGTAAAACCAAGACTAAATTTAAAAACTACATAGAAACTTCTTCCTGCATTTTGCTCTTATATCAATTTTGTAAGTTAAGAACTTTTAAATCACATATTATTTGAGCTCCAGTATTCTTTTGCAGAAGTAGAAAATATTGCAATGTGCTCGTGGAAAGTTGCATTATGTTTGTAAGATCTAGTTATACCCGTGATTTGTAACGAAATCTGGTGAATACTGGGTAGTTCACAGCCTAAGAATGGCAGACCTTTTAAGTAAAAGTTTATTTATTGAAACTATATTAAATGAAACACACAAAGTTTAGTTTTATATCTTACAGTAATTGCTTGTAAGAGGAGAAAAACATCTTTTGAAATCTGGTTATTAAAATACTGTAAACAATGTTTTATAAACTTACAGCATCAGCCAGGGGCACACCAAAGAGTAAACTAATATTATCAGAAGTAGAATGTCTGACTGATGACCTCATTAATGCTTTATATCTAGATGTGCAGCTATATGATATGATTATTATTAACATAAATGGTATTCCTAATTTCATTCATATTATTCCACCCTATTAAAGTTCAAAAATAGCATAAGATGAAAAAATTGTGAACACCGGGTACTAATCTCTAACCCACATCATCAACTGAATTCATATGTAAACTTGGAATATTTCATCACTCTTATGCTTGTTAAAGTCAGTAAAGGATATTATGAAGAAAAGAACATACACACACACTTATGGACACCTTTATATTCTCTACCTTGTTATTTTTTACAGATATTTGCTGTTGAAAAGTACAGCCTATGCCAAACAAACTAAAAAGTTATTGTATTATATATTTATTTAAACAATGTTGGGATGATTTTTTATTTCTTCTCACAATCAATGGTCTAGTGATTTTATGACCTCTTTTAGTCATTCATCAGTTTGATCACCCAATTTAAACCATTAGTTCAATCCTGTCATCAATAACTTCTGAACAAATCAAGCTATCTATATAAATCTGATCTAACAATTAACTTAGTAATGAATGTAGATAATTTAATGTATTGGTTTAACAAGGACTGTGCATTGTCAAGCTTGGAAGGTTTAGGTTAGTTTAATTTCATATACTAAGCTAACAATGCAAAGTAATCCTTGTAAATGTAAAAAATAAGGAAAATATCTTTACAAATTTTAACCAAAACTGTAAATGAAACTAGCTTTGTAACAACTTTATGTATATATGCATTTATTATTTTTTAAAGAAAATGTAAAAACAGTTTGTCAAATGTGATACTTTGAAGAGAAAAAAATAGTATCCTCCTTCCTCTGATAGTTCTATTTCCAACAACTAGATCTAAAACAAGTAATCCAACATATACATTTGACAGTAAAATAAAACTGTTGAATAAGACAGAGGAATGTTGTCAGGTAAAGGCATTTTGGCAGCTTAGTGTTTAAGGTATCTATATCAGGGTTGAATCCAGGAGAACTCATGCTATCTTGGTCTAAGCAACAACACTTGTGCTATGACAAGGACTTCATGTGTTTAATGTATAGGGAGGGAAGCCTAGGATATTAACCAGTGCCATTAATCCTATAGTATGCATCTTTACTTTCTTTGTAGCCACTTAAGTAAAGTTTAAAGGTAAGCTGGGACTACACAGTGGTGGGAATACGGAGTCTTTTTTTGACCCCCTGTTCATAAACATTATAAATAGAACTTAAAATCAGGTGCACTTATGGGTGTTCAAGTTTATAAGGTCTCGTATCTAAAACTACTATTCAATATATGCAGTTTGTTGTTGGAAGGTATTTGTTTCTAATTGGCTCTATGACCAATCTCAGATAGTGATGCATATGTATGACACCCAAGGCTGCTTAAACAATAACTACTTGTTTGAACAGTTAAACAAAAACTCCTCTATGGCCATCAAATATTGAATATGCACAACTCTTTAATTTGTAGCTGCACAAGCAGAATCAGAATTATAGGTTTTAAAATAATGGGCAATCACTGAATAGTGAGAAAACTGTTTCTACTGAACAACAAAGAAATGTACTTTCATGTGGTCATTTTCTCAAAAATATAAAAATTTTTGTTCCATTATTCCTCTCAACTTCCCTGTGAAAAATATTCTCCAGTTAAAGACTGTGAATGTCCAATTTAGATATACCACAAATGTAAAATGCTAAAGAATCTTAAAGAGAATATTTGTGTTCACAGGTTTCTGAACATCAGTTATACTAACAACAAATATATTTATAGAAATAGTAAGTTGCTTATGTACACAAACTGATGGAGTCATATACAAATCAGCAGATATTTTACATTTATTATGGAAATTTCTTATGCAGTGAAGTTTAAATATTTCCCAAAGACTACCAGAAAAATCATCTGTATTATTGTAGGTTATTGTTAGAAGCATCTTCCACTGGACCAGCAGAGCTAATTTTATATAAAATATGTCTTCTGGTTTTCTATGTACAAATAATAAGACTACCACTGGTAGTGTCTTGCACAAGAAATAATTGCCCAAAATTCTGTTTTTCTGCTTGAATAAAACATGTTCTCTTGTAATTGTAAGAATACACTTTATTCTGGAATGTTTGCTTGAACACCCCCTCTCTACTATTTTATTTTCTACTAGCTGGAGTTAATTAAGGTGTAGTACTGAGACTGGATACAGAGTGTAGTAAAGAATTAACAACCCTTATTCAACAGGAAGAATATATATAGTGTGTGTCTTTGCTGTTATTTACACAGGATGATCACATTTACTGAATCACAAGACTGACTACTAACAACCAAGTTTTCAATTAATGTTTCACAAGCTTTTCTTTTTTTGGGGGGGGGGGTCTTCTTAGAAAACATAATTTAACAAAATATCAGCACATAATCATTATGATATTAATTTTAACTACAGAATTACCTTTCTACATTTGCAAATAGGGTTCTCTAAGATTCGGCATTCATCTTGCTTCTGTATTTGGATTTCAGGACTGCAAGAGGTGAAAATCTCATCTTGCACAGATATGTAGTAGTACGTGAGATAAGAAAAAGAATTACTTTTCTGTGCACTATCAACATCTTGGAATCCAAAACTCTAATAGTATATTTCTTTTAAACTCTGACCTTAATGTACCATCACATGAAAACTCAATCAATTAAGTACTCTTCTTTCATAAAGAAACCAGCAGGTAGGTTATTATTTTACAATGCCCACAAAACTTTTCCAACATTAATTAAAAAACTATACAACTTAGAATTTTGCACTTAATTTTTACATATGATTCCTGCTTACATAGGAGAATATTTAATGTCTCGAGTGTTAGGTTCGCTCCAAGATCTACAAACTTTACACAGTCTGCCTGAAGGTAACTCATGAACTACAATTGGGAACCTCTGTTCTAGATAATACAATTCTAATGATGTTCCAGGCCAGATTGACCAAATGCAATGTTCTTCAGATTGCAAGAAACCTTGCATTTACCCTGGCAACTTGTGATATTCACGTGATTGGTCATTCTCATTACAACATAGGTAGGGCTATAACCTCTAGATTTCACCTGAACACCCAATTTTATTCAGAGCTAAGTTAAATTGTAACAACTAAGAAAGCAAAAGAATAGACTAGTCAATATAAGAATAAAAATCAGTTGTGTTGAGAATGTTATATTGGAAATTATTTGTAAAATTTTTGATTGTGCGTAAATTTCCATGACGGATATTTGGAGCATCACTACTCCAGAGTAATCATATTAACTATCTCATACCTTCAATAGCACAATTTTATTGTGTATGTTAGAGTCAAGCCACAATGGGCTATCTGCTGGGAATCGAACCCCGGATTTTAACATTGTTATTATGTAAACTTACCGTTGACCCACTGGGGGACTTGTTATTTAATACACTTTCTTGAACATACAAAAAAAATCTTTATAGTTACATTATTTGTTAGTCATTTAAATGGTTTCCTATATTACAGTAGTTTAAATGTGAGAATAAACTGACTGAACTGTTCTGTTATGGTTTAATAACATAAAAAATATATGAACTTTGTATAAATCTAAACAAAGTAGGCTATTGAGCTTATTAGCGATTTAAATCAATACCTTAAAATAGCCTTAAAATCAGAAACATATGTGATAGTGCAAAGAAGTTTGATATTTTTAAGTAATATGTTTGAAATATTAATTTCCAATCAGAGCCAGCTACTTACTAAGAGCAAAACTGAAAAGAAATTGGCAGTGAGTATAGCTAAGTTAGACATACTTCTAATGTTCTTACTTATCAAGACTAGAATGCAAGACGAGTTGGCTACCTTTTTTGTTAACGATATTTCTGGTCGTAAACCCAATAATATATCACGAGGTTCACCATCGCAGCTTAAGATATTTAGGTTAGAGCTAAATCCAGATATTAAGCTAAAAATGCAAAACAATCTTTATAATCAAAGTATAATAATATTTGTTGTGAATAATATAACTATAAATATTCTAATCAATACTGTTAATTAAAGTAACAATGAATAATAATGAAGTATAGCTCACTCATTATTCGATTGGCTCTACCCTCTACTGTAGGTTGCAGTTTAGCCTATTCAAAGCTCATCAGCACAGCTTCGGTCAGCAAACCATGGAAATACCATTACGCCTCTTATGTCCACGGCCCGGCATGGCCAGGTGGTTAGGGCGCAATTTGAGGGTCGCAGGTTCGAATCCCCGTCCCACCAAAACATGCTCACCCCAGCAGCCGTGGGAGCGTTATAATGTGACGATCAATACCACTGTTCGTTGGTAAAAGAGTAGCCCAAGAGTTGGCGGTGGGTGGTGATGACTAGCTGCATTCCCTCTAGTCTTACACTGCTAAATTATGGATGGCTAGCGCAGATAGCCTTCGTATAGCTTTGCGCGAAATTCAAAAAATAAACAAACAAACGTATGTCCACAGCAGAGGGTATGGCCAATCATAAAATGCATTTGGCCTCCACGTCACAGATTCTTTCTTTTTTTTCAATTTCACCTCTAGTGAAAAAGGAAAAGAAATCTTTAACATATATACACACACATATTACACAGTTGGTCCCCTATATAATAATGAATTCGAAGAAATGTCATAACATTATTCCCATACCTAAATTAATTTAGGCTACAACATGGTAAAGTGAAACGAACTCAAAACCCAACAGATAGTATAACTCACTCATGAAATACACAAAGTAAATAGTGGTACTTCAAGAACATCTCTTTCGTTGTAGCTACTTATTTTCAACTCCGTATGCTGCCAATTCAAAGGTCGCTGTGGTATGTTTATATCGAAAACAAAAAAAAAGGAACAAACTTTATCACAAATTTAGAAAACAAAAAAGAGGATAAATGGGGAAAAAATAAATAGTTGTTTGATGTTCACATCGTTTCAGGCTGGGTCGTCTTTCATCTAGTGATTTTAAACTTTGGTGGAACAAAGGTGTTAAAAGTTTTTGCTTTTTCTGTATACTGTAACCTAACCGATTTGCTGAGCTAACCTGTATTGTTGTAGTGATAGAGGGATTAAAGGCCACGTCAGTAGGAGTATGAAACAAATAAGATAAAACTGAAATTCTTTTATAAACTGTGCTAAATGTCGTATATCGCCAGCTCAGACGTCGTATACCTAAAAATCCCAAAATTAGAAGCCGGTCTAGATGATAGTTCAATAAGCTTCGCTTACAACTGAGCGTCTTTGATTTCCTAAATATATATTTATGCATTGCATATTTTTACAAAGATGTACTTGCTTTCGGTCTCGGCCCGGCATGGCCAGGTGGTTAGGGCGCTCGACTCGCAATCTGAGGGTCGCAGGTTTGAATCCCTGTCCCACCAAACATGCTCGCCCTTTCAGCCGTAGGGACGTTATTATGTGACGGTCAATCCCACTATTCGTT